CATCAGGAAACTTTAGAGGGCAGTGGATGTGTTTAGTGATCTTGTTTGTCTGATGCTTTCACTGATATGTCAAAACTCCCTGAACTTTACACTTTAAATTTGTGCCATCGTTTGAATGTCATTTGTACATCCATGAAGCTGTGAATAAAGAAGTACAGAGTAAATAAATTTAAGCAGAGTCCCCCCAGCAGGCTTAATATCAGTGTGCTGATGTTAAGAAGCCTCTGGTGCGTGGGATGTCTGTGCTCCCGATCCCACTGCTGCAGCCTCCATGAGGCACCAGGTGAGCTGTGCTCTCAACAAGGGTCCTGGGAATTCTCAAGCTTGGGGCAGTTGGAAAACCCTGGTACCCACTGGGTGGCAGCTCTTATCTTGACCAAACCACCATCAGGTGAATCCAAATGAAACAACTACCATTAAAATCCCAAGGGGAAAGCAAATAATCATTTGTTTTATTTATGCCACATTACCCTTAACCATCAAATAACAAGTGTTTGTCACCTGTCTCTCCTTTAAGAAGTTTTTCAGTCTCCCGACTCCTTATATCATTGGATGAACTGGGAGAAAACCAAGCTGATGAATGAAATAGTTCTTTCTAGAATCCATGCTATTGCAAGTATCCAATCAAGATCCTGTCTCCTATAAAAGAAACACAAAGAGCTGTATTTAGCATTTCACCCTGAAGGGTGTTTGCTGATTTCTGTTGAGAAAGAGCTGCTTTTAATGCCAGGTAAAGCATGATTTTGGTTTTTTTTTTTTTTTTTTTACATTGTTATAAAAGTAGTGGTGTGATTGGAAGTCATTAAGAAAGCTCTTTTTTTCATGACTAGGTAAGGTCAGGAATATCTTTTGAGATTCACAGAGCATTGCAATTCCTGAGATGTGTGTTTTCTCTCATGCCCTTTGTCAGTTTATTTTTTTCCCTTTAATTTGTGGTGTTTTTTTGTTTGTAATGGATTTTAACTCTTTGTCTTCTCACTGTTGAAAATACATTCTCCCATCTGTAACTTTAACTTCATCTCTAGTGTCTTTTTTTCTTTGTGGCAGCTGTGCTAATTTTTTTCAGTAAAAACTTGAACTTTTTTCTTTATTTAGCAAGATTGAAATTACATAAAACAAGATATACCACTTTTAAATGCATGCATTGAATTTGAATCTGTAACTCCATCATCTGTTTGAAATATATATGAACTGAACTCTTCATTGAAATTCAAAATTTCATGTTCTTTACTTCCTTTTTCTTCAACTTCCTTTTTATTCCATGCTCTCTCAAAGCTGTCCTAATGTAATATGTTATGCCTTAAATCTTTTTTTGATCAATATATCATAGTTCTCTGCAGTAAGAGTATCAGTTTAGTTCAGTCTCTCAGTCATATCCAACTCTTTGTGATCCCATGGACTGCAGCATGCCAGGCCTCCCTGTCCATCACCAACTCCTGGAGTTTACTCAAACTCATGTCCATTGAGTCAGTGATGCCATCCAACCATCTCATCCTCTGTTGTCCCTTCTCCCATCTTCAATCTTTCCCAGTATCAGGGTCTTTTCTAGTGAGTCACTTCTTCACATCAGGTGGCCAAAGTATTGGAGTTTCAGCTTCAGCATTAGTCCTTCCAATGAATATTCAGGACTGATTTCCTTTAGGATGGACTGGTTGGATCTCCTTGCAGTCCAAGGGACTCTCAAGAGTATTCTCCAACACCACAGTTCAAAAGCATCAATTCTTTGGCGCTCAGCTTTCTTTATAGTCCAACTCTCACATCCATACATGACTTCTGGAAAAACCATAGCCTTGACTAGACGGACCTTTGCAGTAAGAGTACACATAAACCTAAATTGTAAGAAATATTTTTGACTGCAAGACTCTAGGTGTTAAGTTTCTTCTAAGTTAAAAATACAGTTAGTATACTTTTGATCAAAACAAGATAGTGCAAATCATATTTTTAACAGGAAAAGGAAACTGGTAAGGGCTTCATCTCCAATAATGCAATAATATGTTCTTTTCTCATTTTTCTCCCTTTTCAAAATGCATATGTAGAGAATTCTCATTGCTAGAATGAGATCAACTTCAGCATCGTTACACATCTTTTATTTTTCGGAGACAAAAGAAACTCATTCACAAACATAGGGATGGGCATGTACAGAGATGTTATTTAATATTTTGGACTCCTTCAAGGTTACATGGAAAAAAATCACAAAATGATCTTTTATTGAGTTATTTTCCTGAGCTGAAGCTTCCATTGATTCCTCCAGTTTTTGTTAACAGCAAAAAATAAGTGACTTCCACTTGTTAAACTGTTACATGGTTATTAGTCATTTATTTTCTTAAGATAGCTGGCCACATTTCTAATTGTTCCTATATTTGATGCCTCAGATTTTTTTTTAATACCTACCCTAATGCAATGCACCATAGCAAGATAAATTACGAATGAGATGATTTTCGTTTGAAGAAAGTGAAGGGCATTTGCCAAAGGGATACCCTAACTGCAGGCAGAGCAGCTGTAGGAAGGACCACAGCTGAGGTTGTAGAGCCTGATAGAACTTTCCAAACACAAACCACCTGGGTGGACTTTGCATCCCCTGAGGGTACACATGGGTTCATTTGAAGATCACTGTTCTAGACGACATAATAAAATAGGAAGATGCAATAGTAAAGTGATTGGGAAAATTATTCTTATGGATATAGTTTTATACCTAGAAAATCCAGGATTTAACTGAAGAGTTTTAGAATTAGTACAATAAATTTAAATGTCTAGTGATAAGAAACGGTTTACAAATCTAGCAGTTTTCCTTTATGATGGTAATTGCCAATTAGAATGAATAAAAATTTCACTTACGAAGTTAATCATATGTCATTGGATATAATTGTAATTTTGTGTTATACATAGAAATAAAGGAACAGAAATGTAAATATTAAATAAGAACTGAGCATAAAGCAGTAATGAAGACTAGAAAGATGAATTCAGTAGAGAGCCCTTCCTGAAAAGGAATTCTTATTATAAAATGCAATGTCTTTCCAAGAAATGGTTAGTTACAATTTCAATTATAAGGCCCAACTTGTCTCTGGCTGTTGAGGGTAATGCCAAGAGATGTCTAACAGACAGGTTTTGGGAAACACTTTGAACAGGATCACAAAAGGGAGTCTAAATCAGTACAAATTGGGACTGGCAAAAGACAAGACATAAATAGAAGATAGAGTGTTGAAATACATCCTATGGTGTAGTTATTTAATATGATAGGGGTAGCATTTCAAAACAGTGTGCAAGGATTAAATATTCTGTAAGTGGTAGAGGACTACAGGGCTATACATTTAGGAGGGAATCTAGAGTTCCTTTTCATGCAAAAGTACAAACATGGTCAATGGATTAAAATGAACACTTGTTAATAAAATGTAACACTTGACAGTATTGATGTGGGGTATTGCTCCTAAATGTTTCTTGAAATGTAACAAAATGTGCTAGTACCAGGATTTGTTGATCAAATGGACTTTATATCTGAGAAAGTAGAGATTAGTAATATAATGGAGAGTAATAAATCCTGTGATTCAGTTGATATTGTTGTGGCTCTTTTTTTTAATTTTAATTTTTTTAAAGTATAGTCAATTTACAACGTTGTGGAGACTGTGGCCCTTAACCACGCTAATTAGAAACCCTGTCCTTCGTCAGGTGGGTCCTGAGACAGCAGGCAGCCCATCTGTCTGATAAAACATCGATCAAAATAGGAGTCATCTGCTGACCCTTCCTTAACTCTGCCCTCCCGAGTGGCCCTGGGAAGCCTGGTGAACTCAAGACTCTTCAGTCCACTCAGGCAAGGACAAGGGCATCGGTGGCAATTCCTTCTGGAAGCTTCCTTCTGTCTTGCTGGTCAAACCTTGCAGCTGGGTCTTCCTACTGGCAGAGGAAGGAAATCACAGCCCCCTGGGCTGCAGGCCAAACTTCCCTTGTTATGTTTTGTCGGGAGAGTGTGTTGCTTTTAGCATGCATTCCATTCCACTATATCTGTATATATAATTTTTTTTTAATGTTATTTTAAATTTTAAGAAATTTGGCTGTGCTGGGTCTTGGTTGCTGTACAGGCTTTTCTCCAGTTGCTGAGCTGGAAGCTACTCTAGTTGCGGTGCACGGGCTTCTCGTGGCTTCTCTTGTTGCAAAGCATGGGCTCTAGAGCACTCGGGTCTCAACAGCCGCCACTCCTGGGTTCTGGACCACAGGCTCAGGGGCTTAGTTGCTCCGAGGCAAGTGGGATCTTCCCCAGCTGGCAATCAAACCCGAATCTCCTGTGTTGACGGAGGATTCTTTTCCTCGGAGCAAGCAGGAAAGCTGTACACCTGTATCTAAATTAAATAATGAGGCCCTTGCTTTGTGTTCCATTTCGTTCGTATCTGATGAACAATCTAAGATATACCTCCAAGTAATGTTGATCTTCCCATAAAGCGCAATGTCTGTTCTGAGTCTTTGCATGTCTGCCAGCAAACCTCAGGACAACATGATATACCCAATCCCTAGTGGTCTTTCTAAAAATGATCCAGAAGTTGGGGACAGACAAGCGTTATGAAGATATTGAAAGAAATATTTAAAATAAATATGGATTAAAGACCAATCTTCCCTGATTTTTCTAGCAACATTCCTTGGAATTCAACTTCTAGGTTGTCTTAATTACTAGCCCTATGTATTATATCACCAGGACACTTGATAATTAGCGTGAATGCATGCTCAGTCACTAAGTCATGTCCAGCTCTTTGTGACGCTATAGACTGTAGCCCACCAGACTCCTCTGTCCATGGGATTCCCAGGCAAGAACACTAGGGTGGGTTGGCATTTCCTTCTGCAGGGGATCTTCCCGACCCAGGGACCAAGCTCTCATTTCTGGAGTCACCCTAAGATAACTTAGGGTGAATGGAATTTGAAACTTCATTTAAAAGCAAAGCCCCATCAAGTTAACCTTTTGATTTATCTGACCTTCACTTTTTTCTTTCTTCTAATCCCTGTAGCTAAAACTCATCATGATCCCAGCTTTTCCAGCTAACAATCAGTGGGCCTGGTTTCAAAGATTCACACAAGAAGAAGTTTCACGTAGATGCTGGTTGTGCTTCTATTTGTTCGATGCTGTGACATTAGCATTGTTACTTGGTGGCGTTTTCATCACTTTGTTCTCTGGTCATCCACCTTTCGCCCTTGTAATGACAATGATTGTTACCAGCATTGTGTTTTTCATCCTCATTGGATTGATGTACTTGTGTGAAGCAAACAAAGTATCAGCTTTCATACAAGAAAAATTCTCAAGGAGAAGAATAGCTCAGGATCCTTATAAGGCTTTAGAAATGGAAAAAATCAATGGTTGCCACCTGACTGTAATATCATCTTAAACCTGGAAATCCTTGGGACTTGGATATTTTAATGATTTAAATATAAATAAACTCTGGCTTTTTTAAAAAAGAAAAGCTTATTTGATTTTGGAATGTTTCTCTTCCCTATTGCCTCTCTTCAGTCTTCTTACAGAAGATCCTGTTTTTTCCAGTTCCAGCCAGATGAATGGACCAGTTCCCTCTTCCCTGTTGCCACAGCGTGCTTCCAACCATCGCCGAAGACCCAGCCCCTGCCTCTCACTCTGGCTTTTCACGTGGACTCCTCCAGATTTTAACTGACCCATCCAAGACCATAGGTGCCCAGCTTATGGCCAACCTCCCTGGCAGTGCCCTGATCTTTTCCATTGTCCTGTCCTGTAACTTTTCATCACTGTTGCCTGTGAGTCTCCAAAACGGTCCTCCAGACACCCCTTCCTCCCACCACACAGCCCTTATCATCCTTGGTCAATTCCCCTGGCATCCCTCACCTAACCATCCTCCGATGTAATGGTGTGGTCCACCCTTCTGATGCTAAGGTCTCCTCACTCTCCCACAGTGCCTCGACTTTTTATCTCTTTGGGGCTTCTTTTTGGAATTACCTTCTACTTTTCCTCCCCTTATTCTTGCCTTATACATTCCCTTCTACATGCCTGGTGACGTATGGACATGTGAACCTGCTTGAACTAAGCTATCTCCCTGTGTACATGAATCCAAGGAGATGATCACTCAATAAAGGTGACCTCTTCCTTTCTTTTTCTTAAAATTTTATTAATTTTTTTGGCCTTGCTGGGTCTTCACTGTTGCCCAGGCTTTTCTCTAGTTGTGGCTAGCAGGGGCCACCCTCTAGATGTGGGCTTCTCATTGCGGTGGCCTCTCTTGCTGCAGAGAATGGGCTCTAGGCATGTGAGCTTCAGTATTTGCAGCACATGGGCCAGTAGTTGTGGCTCCTGGGCTCTAGAACACAGGCTCAGCATCTGTGGCTCATGGGCTTAGTTGCTCCTAGGGATATGGGATCTTCCTGGACCAGGGATCGAACCCATGCCCCCCACACTGGCAGGGGGATTCTTTATCACTGAGCCACCAGGAAAGCCTCAGTGATTTTAATTCCTTTCAATCATGATCATTCACCAAAGGGATCACTACTGCTGTCCTGCTTTTCTGAGCTGTTTCCTGGCCTTCAGTTCAGGCAGGAATTGGAAGACTCTTTCCAAAGTTTACTGGCCAAAGAAAAACTGTCCCTTCTCCCCTAACAGGTAGGGATCCCATAAGAAAAACACTGCTCAACCTACTGTAACCTGAGGGTTGGATGGCATCACCCACTCAATAGACATGAATCTGAACAAACTCTGGGAGACAGCAAAGGACAGGGAAGCCTGGTGTGCTGTAGCCCATGGGGTCACAAAGTCAAACATGGCTTAGTGACTGAACAACAACATACCCACCAAGGAAACCCTATCCTCCAACAAGCCCTACCCAACAGCCCTGGGGTCTTCCCTCTGAAATGAGAAGGGAGGGCCCAGAAACTAGGACCCTCTGCAAATGCCTCCGCCATGGTTTGCAAACTCAGAAGACGTTACAGGGCATAGAGAGTGTAGGGAGCAGTAAACAGACCTAGGTTTCAACTATGTAACTGACATTTTCAGACACTTAGAACATACTACATAATTGAAACAACAATAGGGTGTTATAAAGGATTCACAAGAAAAAAGCAGGAACTCTTGAATTATGAGTTCAGGCCATGTTATGGGCCAGACTGGATGGGAGGGGAGTTGGAGGGAGGATGGATGCATTTATATGTCTGCCTGAGTCCCCTTGCTGTCCACTGGAAACTATCACAACATTGTTAACTGGCTATACTCCAATACAAAATAATAAGTTAAAAAACCAGAGGGGTGGGAGGGATATTTGAGAAAAAGGGGACGTATGTACACTTATAGTTGATTCATGTTGTTATACAGCAGAAACTAACACTGTAAAGCGATTATCCTCCAATTAAAAAAAATAAAAGTAAAATTCTTTTTAAAAATGAGAGCAGGACTTAATTCAAAAAGTTGGGTACAACAAACGTAAAAAGAAATATTCAAGAAGAACAGCTTACAGTGGGGGAAAACTGAAAACAATGTCCAACAATGAAGAATTTTTCAAAATCTTGATACAATAGAACAAGACCACGAAATATCTTACTATCCCTAAACTGATATCAAAAAGATAGAAACACAAAAGGAAACCATCATCAGTGTTGACTGTCTCTGAGAGCTGGAATAACTATTGATCCTATTTATACTTAAATATTTCTTTTATCTTTCCAAATTTTGCAAGATTCTGTAATTAAAAAAAAATCAAATGTCAAAAAATAAAATTGTGATTTTATTTTCCCAAAGTTCTCAAGATTCTGTCATAAAAAAAAAATCAAATGTTGAAAAATAAAATATATCCAGGTGACCTGGCTAAAGAATACATGACATGAAATTACATTTCCAAAAGGGAGACTTCCTGCGCCATGCAGTGGCAAGAAGACTATGTGGGTACCCAGCGTTGTGTGCTACATTTTAAAAACAGCTGTAACTCTTTGTCTTGACTTTTCCGTCCTTGAACTATGGATACATTCCCTAAATGTTTTTGAAGTATCTTGCTTTAAAATATATATATATATTTATTTATTTACTTTTGGCTAAGTAGGATCTTTGTTGCTGTTGAGGGCTTTTCTCTAGTTGTGGTGAGTGGGGGCCACCCTCTAGTTGTGGCAAGTGGGCTTCTCACTGTAGTGAATTTTATTGTGGAGTGCAGGCTTCAATAGTTGTGGCACATGGGCTTAGTTGCTCCGAGGCACGTGGGATCTTCCCCGATCAGGGATCCAACCCATGTGTCCTGCACTGGCAGGCAAATTCTTTACCACTGAGCAGTCAGGGAAGCCCTGTCTTGCACTTTTAAGACCGAGAATTTATAAGAAAATAATATTCAAGTCTCCACCTCTCAAACAGAAGGATGGTATGTTTTCTGACAGTCTTTCCATGTGCATAGGGTGTCTCTCTTCTCTTCTTTATGACCATCTGTCATATTTAACTTTTTCCTGGTGAGTTTTTTCAAAAGAAAAGGGAAAAGCAATCTCTCCTTCATTGTACCTCTTCAAGTATCTAAAATTACTTGTGATAGTCTCAGCTGGAACCAACTTACAGATCCATCCACAGAGGGAATGGGTTTATCCTGGCAGTGGAATTGTGGTTCTTTGTGATCCACACCTCTTCCCTTCATTCCAAGCCCACCCTGGACTTCCCTGGTGGCTCAGCTGGTAAAGAATCTGCCTGCAATGTGGGAGACCTGGGTTCGATCCCTGGGTTGGGAAGATTCCCTAGAGAAGGGAATGGCTATCCACTCCAGTATTCTGGCCTGGAGAATTCCATGCACTGTATAGTCCACGGGGTCACAAAGAGTCAGACCCGACTGAACAACAAAGAAATACTACTCAACATGAAAACAAACAGTCTGTTGATACTCAAGACAACATGAATGAATCTAAAAATAATTATGCTGAGGGAACAAGCCAGACATAGAAAAGTACATACCAGATAATGTCATTTATATAAAAATGTAAACTCATTTTTAATGACAGGCTGTAGATTGGTGGTTGCCTGGGAATGAAAGGGAGGAGGTGTGGATTACAGAGAAGCACAATGAAACTTTGGAAGTAATAGATATATTTTTTATTTTAGTTAGACTGATGCTTTTATTGGTTCATACATGCCAAAACTCAATGAATTGTACACTTTGAATATGTGCTGGCTTTGTACCTCACTTGTACATGCAAGTGAATAAAGAATCACAGAGTGAATTATTTTACACAGTGTTTCTCCAAACTTTGCTGATATTAAGAAGCTCCTAGTACCTACAGTTAACATACTCGACAGTGAAAAGCTGAAAGTGTCTCCTCTAAATTCAAGAGTAAGACAAGAATGCCCACTCCCATCGTTTCTCTTTAACATAGTATTAGAAGTACTAGCTGGGCTTCCCGAGTAGCTCAGCTGGTCAAGAACCTGCCTGCAATGAAGGAGACCCCAGTTCAATTCCTGGGTTGGTAAGTTCCCCTGGAGAAGCGGTAGGCTACCCACTCCAGTATTCTCGGGCTTACGTGGTGGCTCAGATGGTAAAGAATCTGCCCGCAATGCTGGAGGCCCGGGTTCAATCCCTGGGGTGGGAAGATCCCCTAGAGGAAGGCATGGTAACCCACTCCAGTATTCTTGCCTGGAGAATCCCCATGGACAGAGGAGCCAGACAGGCTACAGTCCATGGGGTTGCAAAGAGTAGGACATGACTGAGCGACTAAGCACAGCACAGCAGTATTAGCTACAATAATCAGTCATAAAGAAGAATGAAATTCTGCTGTTTACAACAACATCAGAGACCTGGAGAAGGCTTCCCTGGTGGCTCAAAGGGTTGAGAATCTGCCTGCGATGCAGGAGACCTGGGTTCAATCCTGGGGTCAAGAAGATCCCCTGGAGAAGGGCATGGCAACCCACTCCAGTGTTCTTACCTGGAGAATCCCATGGACAGAGGAGCCTGGCAGGCTACAGTTCATAGGATTGCAAAGAGTCAGACACGACTGAAGCAACTTAGCATGCATGCATGCATGGACCTAAAGAGGCTCATGCTTAGTGAAATAAGCTAGATAAAAAGAAGACAAGTTTTGTATGTTTTCATTGAAACATGGAATCCAAAAAAATTAGACACTTCCCTGGTGGTCCAGTGGTTAAGATTCCATACTTCCACTGCAGGGGGTACAAGTTGGATCCCTGACTGGGTGGGGAATTAAGATCCCATGTGCCATGTGATGTGACCAAAAACAAAATAAAATTCAGAAAACAAAACAAAACAATGAATTTTTTAAAAAGAAGCCCCTGGTGCTGTGTAAAATCCATACTCCTGGTCCCACTGCTGAGTACTGCAGGAAGCACCAGGTGAATTGTGCTTTCAGTAAGAACCTCAGTGATTCTCAAGCTCAGAGAATAGGGAAACCCTGGTATAAA